AGAAGTATTATGATAGTATTGTTTGACATATAGTACTGTTTGAAGTTCTTGCTTCTCCCTGGCCAGAGGTACATTTGGGTCAATTTATCATCTAAGAGATAAAAGATGAAAGCTGAGTACATTGCTAGTGTCCTCTACTTTCCTACTATAAAGGGATAGTAGCTTTTTGTTTGGGTTCACCTCTGGGACTCCTTTTGAGGAAAATGATTAAATCAAACTGTAATGTGGGTGATTTTGTGGTACAGCTAAAAGCCCAGGAGGAGCTTGTCAAAAAAACACTACATTTGAGGTTGTTGACTACTCTAAACGATATGTGACTTGTATCTCCAGAGATGTAAAGTGAATGTGTTATTAACAGTATGACTTATGGAAGCAAATTTCCAACAAAAAATATAAGGAAAAATGCAGCCTTTAAAAGGCTGAATTCATTTTGTATACCAATTTTTCTAGAATAAATCTGGCCTTTTATAGAAATAGTAAGATGTCTTATTATCCATTCAATACATTTTAATATGAAAACTCTGCATTATTGGTTTCATTTATTATTTATAGAGTGCAAGAGAACAACATGGCAGTGTACAATGCAAACACTACAGCCTCTGCCTCTGGGAATATGTAATCGAAGGCAAATGTAAACAGGATTACTCCCCAGCCCCAAACCAGGTAACATGGTCCCTCTTTGCCATACTAATATGGGGCATAACTAGGATAAAGGAGACACCCTGCTAAGGGCTGACCTAGTTTGATGTCACTCACAAGACCACTGAATTGTTTGGTCTTATTACCTACTTAAGTCCAGGCAAAGTTAGCCTCAAAATATAAACAGGAAGTGTTAATAAAGGGAAAAAAGCATTGATAGGACCCCAAGTCTTATAAGGGAAGAAAAGTACAGTCCTTACAAAATATTAAGTTCTCTTCACTAAAACTAGGAAACAGTTAATAATTAAAGTAAAATAAGACATCTACACATTCAGGAACAAAGGTAAAATAAATCTAATTTAATTGAATATTTTTGTAAAGCCCCAGGATCTAGCTTCCAACACTGTGCCATGCACATAACAGATACTCAAGAAACATTCATTTTTATTTCCACAAACTATATTTATCCATTTTAAAATATGTTTGCTTCTGCTACTTCAGAGATGAGATAAAAATTTTAAAAAGAGCTAGATTAATGGTTTAAACTCGAAAGGATCCTTCCCATGTGGGATGAGGCCTGGGAGGGGAAAATGGAGTTGGCAGACCTGTCCTCTGCCTCTCCCTCCAGCATGGTGTGGGCATCTAGTAGGTACTCAGTAAGTGCTGAAGGGCGGAGGGCCACTCCTTCTCCCAATGCTGGTGTGTATAAGAATTTATGCTATATTCAGGCTCTTTCTATAAACCGTACTCCCATAGAATGCAGTAATCGTCCTCTCATTCCAGTGAAAGAGAATCTGAGGTAGAAGAAGAGGCAGAGAACACACATTCCTGAAAATGAAACTGCAATGTGCCAGCACTACGTATGAAATGAAAGCAGATCCAATGCATGAGAGTGGTATGGTATTACTTCGTTGTTTTGTTCTAAGTTTTGTTTCGTTTTGTTTTTGATGAAGAGTTGCCATGTTTTGGTCTTTTATTTAAAAGTATTTAATTGACAACTAAGGATTGTATATATTCAACGTGGTCAACGTGATGATTTGATATACATATATACTGTGTGATGATTACCACAGTCAATTAACACATCCATTACCAGCCATGCTATACATTAGCTCCCCAGAACTTGTTCATCTTATAATTGAAAGTTTTGTACCCTTTGACCAACATCTCCCCATTCCTTCCATTCTCCAACCCCTTATGGTAGTACCCTGGGGCTCAGTAGTCTGAAACCATATACTGAATCTAACAGAAGGTACTTAATGGGGCTCTACTGAAACACAGTTCTAAGAGCTAAAACCCAAAAGCAAAATTGAACTTGGTGAGATCTGTAAGGCCACAAATGTGAGTGACCTCATGCCCCATATTCCCTCTTCAGCTGATTTGCTCATTTTTAGTTTCTTTCTTTGAATTCTATAACCAATTTGGTATCTTTCATCTGGAACCTGAGAAGTTGCTGGCCTTGAAACACAAAACCAAATTGTTGAGCTGAATTAAAAAAAACAAACAAACAGTATTTTCTGAGAGACTTCTAGGTCCTTCCACATCTAAGGTGTGTATGTGGCACAAGTCTCTATGTCACCTCTGAATATAGAGTGAAGTTAACCAACAAACTAAGTAGTTTAATGCTATGGAAGGAAGAAACGAATTGTCTGGGAGGGACCAAGAAGCCCTCTGTGAGAAAAGAGACTGAGAATAAAGTTTTAAAAGGTCAGATGGAAGAAAAGAGCAGATATCAGGCATAATCTCAGGGTGTTTCACAGGTTCACAGATCCACAGAAGGGTTATTGTGGCCTGCTGCACATTTTGTTAAGGAAAGGGACTAGTAAGGGACAACAGGAAAAAGTAAAAAAGAGTTGTTCGTTGAGGATAATTTGAAGGTTCTTATGACAGGTTTTCTGGTGAATAATGAAAATTAGGCCTTTCACCAAAAAAGGGATTGTCCTAGGTTACATTATCAGTATGTAGCAGAAGAGCCACCTGCGTAAACAGGTGTGTGCTTACTATGCTCTCACTTAAGTTACCGGTTGCACATATTAATCAAATAGCACAACCCTCCACCTGCTTTTCTATTACCTATCCTACTTTGTGCCAATTTCCTTTCTCCTCCCCAACACCCCCTGCTTCACTGTTCTTCTTTACGACATGGGATGGGGATTTGTCAAAGTCAATGAGCACTTTATTACAGTGAGAACACTCTGTAATGAACAATTCAGCAATTTAATGAGATTCTGTAGATCTGTCTCCAGCCTGTCCATCAAGTTTCACTTCTATAAAGCACCCTGACACTAATCCTCTGGCATACCCAATCTCCACCCTGGGCTGAATATTAGATTCTTCCATGGTATATTGCATTACTAGTATAACCTCGGCAAAAATGATGAACTTAACTATACTCGAGGCAAAATAGCCGGTCTGATTTGATTTTTCTCTATTGGATTGAATATGAGGAAATCACTTATTTACTAAGATAAAGCAAAAACAGTTTCTTATTGCCTGCCGAATGCCTAAATTGATAATATTTATGTGAGTCTTTTAATTCTTTCTTGAGGACCAGGTATAAAAAAAATGTATTGCCTGCAGCAGAAACCAACTTTTAAAATTCTACATTATAAAATTAGTAACCTTTAGAGAGGCAATTATGATAACTCTTAAGTGGACAGTATGGAATTTTCTTGACACTCAGACATCGGCACATTAACACATTGATCTCTGGAAGTACCTTCAATCATGCTACCAATAGAGACAGAAGCCACAAGGATGCTTGGCCTCAGATCTCAATTCAGTTAGAAAAATTTAAATACAGGACTCATTCCAAGTCTCTTTTTTTCCCCCTGGGAAGTGAAGAAAATTTGGCTATTTTCCACTTTGAATTGACCAAAGTAAATTCTGTTGATTTATGTTTATAGGGGAGCATTGCGCATAATTGAAATTCCTACCAAAAACACTTCCTTACCAACACTTTCAAGCTCTGTCTGAACAAATGTTACCAGAAATACCCAAGCAGCAGCAAAAATTTATGACTTGCTTTTTTTGTCCTTATATTTTCTTTGTCAAAATACTGTAGAATAGTGAAAGCAAGACAGTGTGGAATAATGAAGTATAGAAATTAATCCAAAAAAGGGCAGGTGTCAGCAGACTTAAATTTGAAGGCTGGCTCTGCTCTGTAACTCTGAGTAAGGCACAAATGCTTCATTTTGCTCATCTGGTAGATTGGCCATTCTTCAGGCCTGTTGTCAATAAGTTTACAAAGAGCCTGAGATCCAGGCAGCCTTTAGTACGCTGCCCCTCTTATTATCCTCACTGTTGGAAGCAATAATGAAGAGAGAACTGATTAATGTAACACAAATAAAGAAATAAGGGAGAAAGTCATCAGGAAAATCATCAATCAGTAGAATCAGATGCTGGATAATTAACAGCTACCTATGACTCTGCTTGGGCCAGAATCAAAGCACCCTCTAACTATCATTTGATAAGAGACCAGGAATTCACTGTTTCATCAGCTAAGACTTGAAATTTTCCCTTGTAATCTGTATGTAATTATTTTTCAATTGACTGTGAAATCTTGAAGGCATGGTGGCCTGGAAGTAACAAAACAGCTAGCCAGTGCTTCAGAGTGGGAAGACAGTGTAAGAGGAAGGGGGAAGATGGGTTCTATTTGCCACCGACACTGTGTGGATTGTTAAAGGATACTCACTGGGGATGAGCAGAAGAGGATTTAAATTGAATAATCAACTTCAAAACACAAAACAGCCTCCCATGCCCTAGACAAAGGAGTGACACAATGTAAAAAGAGTGCTATGTCAGACGAAAAGGCAGGGCTTAGGAAAATAGCAATGAATGTAGAATGAACTAAGGACAGAGATTTTTCCACTGTAGGCAAGAAGAACTTCATTTCATTCCAGCTCCAAGCTGCTCTCTGTTGCAACAAAGAAATGTTTTTGAATTGTTTACAGGAAAGCCCAGAATTCATTCTGATTCCACTGGTCTTGAATGTGCATATACATCACTTGACAATCCACTTTTCTCACATTCAGTTTAAGAAACAATTTTTTTTCAGGGAAAAAACCCTTTGGCTCTTTCTGACATGATGTTAGGTTCTGGGAAGCCACCGCGAGGGTCTCACACACGAATCTCACCTGTGATGCCCGGAGTTAAGCTGCAGTCAGCGAGGCCTCCAGCCCGGCGGCGTTAAGGGCTAGTGTTCTCCAATCACTCGCCCACCAAGGAAACATGACTTCTCAAACTCCAATCCCAGGAGGACCAACCCAGATAAAACAGTGGTCGTTAATCTTCAATCCTTTACCTTGTAATCATGCCATGCCTTCTCAATGCCCAACGAGGACCGTGCAGAGCACCCTTACCTGCCAGATCTGCTCCTCACTCAGGGAGGTCAGGCGGTCGCTCTTCAGGACCTCCTGCAGCAGGCAGTAAGGAAGCGTTAGAACGTCTTCCGGGCGGCTCTTCAGGAGTTCAGAGAGATGTTTCACTAAGAAATCAATCACCGCTTTCTCCAACAAAGTGAGGTTAAAGAGGTCAGCAAGTCTGTACAGATCCAAATAATTAAAGCTATTTAATTCCTGGGTGCCAAAAAATAAAAATGAAAAAGATCTCTTAGAAATCAATCCACAAAAGGGCAGGCAAGAAATTAAGGTTGACTCACTAAGGTTTTCGTAACAGGGGTGGGAAAAATGGGACTGTTAATGGGAAAAAAGAATCTCAATTCTAAGGCTTTGGGTAGAGAGAGAACTGCTGCTCTAGAATTCATAATTTTTCCTCATTTTATTCCTTTTAAAACCCATATACTTAAAGACATCCTAATAAAGGAAGTAAAACGGGCTTCTGGTTTGCCTAGCTGAAATGTTACTTTGCAACTTTTCAGACACATTTTACTAATAAAGACAATTGATTTTTCTACCCTTACCATATTGTAGAGCTCTTTTTTCCTACTAAAGATAAAGGGGCAGAAACTGAGATTCATGATTAGATGACATAAAAGTATATGCAGAGAGACTGACTCAGCTCTTTTCCCAAAACTTGAAACTCAGTGTATCTTTGAGTTTTATAAAACAACCCTCACTGAATTAAAACAGAGTTTTACATGTAAGGTCTCAGAAAATTAGGACATCTCAGAGAAAAGGCTCCTGCCTCAAATAATTCTATATTGAAGCCACCTAAGAATAATGATTTATAATCATTCTTTGTTTTTGGTTAGCCTCAAGCAGTCACACCACCAGAGGCATTCTTTTCCACTGTTTCAAAGAGTTTGTTTTGGGGGATGTCACCTGTCTCTCCAAGGTCTCAAACTCATAGCCAAGGTCTACAGTAACAGCCCCAGAGACCAACGGCTTCCATGGAACCTTTGTCATTGTAACCCAAGGAGAAACAGAGTGGGCATGTACACTTGTTGACAGAAAATTTACATATTTCCAGTAGAATGAGAATGGGCTTTGTTCTACTTTTCCCTCATTTTTAACTTGTAATTATTAATGCACAAGAAATATTGTCTAATCCCTCCTTGCTAGTTACCTATGGGTATTAAGAACTCTTTACAGAGGTGCATGTAGTTTGCGTATAAACTGTATAAAATGGGGAGCTGAAGACAAAAGAAAACCTCACTGTCACTGAAGCCATGATACTGATACTGTAGCACACACTCCTCCTATTGGGGCAGACAGGCTCTGTGAGCCTTAAGCAAAATCATCACTTCTTGTCCTTTTGGTTAAGACCATGTGTGAGCAAAATAAACATCAATAATTCTGCTTTTAAGGATTTCCATTAATGTGATGGAGGGGGTGGAAAGCAATGGTTAAATTGCATTAAATGCTCACTGTGGATAGGATAAAAAAATCATTGCTGTTTTAGAAAGAGTTCCATTATGTTCCTGGTTATAAAAAGCAATACATGCTCATTTCATAAAATTCGAGATATACAAAGTATGGAAAAGAAAACAAAAATCATTCATAATTTCACCATGCAGAGATAATCACTATTAACGTTTTTGATATATACTTCTAGACTTTTTAAAAGGAATTCTTTTATATGTCAAGAAAAAGAAAGAATAATTGCATTCAAGGCAAAACAAACCATCAGCCACCACTGGCCCTCGGGGGCAGCCCGGGCTAGTAGAGAAGACAAAGGGTCTTGAAGTCACTCAGACCTGGTTCACATCCAACTCTGCCACTTACCGTTGGCTGGACCTCAGTCACTGAATCTCCTTATTCCCCATGTACAAAACTGAGAGTTTAACTGGCTTATAGGGTTGTCATGGAGATAATGTATGAAAAGCAATTAACATAAAAGTTCGGTACATGGAAAATAGACAATAGATACCTTAAAGAACAATAAAGTATGTCTGAATATTTGGTATCTGTAAACTGTGATTCATCACTGATGCAAGGAAGTCAAAATGAAGAATGTGTTCTCTTTTGATATCCAAGTCTTGAATAAAGGGTGTACCATTAAGTCAGGGAAAGAAAGGATGGCCAAAGTAAAATCCATAGAATTGGGTTATAAAGTAATTGCATGTTAGTGCTTCCCACATCTGTAATAATGACCCAAGCCTTTCTCCTAAGCTCTAAATTCATTTTCTCAACTCCCTATAAGGAGGACTTCTTCTCTTGAGTATCCCACAGTCATACTGAACTCATCACATTCAAACTGTACTTACTTTATGTAAACCTGCATCTTCTGTATTCCCTCTCAGAGAATGGCCATATCTAGCCACCGACATCAGGAACCCAAAAGCTGGCCCCCATTTCTCCCTTATATCTAGTGCATCACCAACTTCAGTCTGTTCTTCCTCTTTAGCATTTCTTGTTCTGTCCCTGATCATCTCCTGTCTGGATTTCCTGCAACAATGTCCTAAATTACCATTCCTGCCTCCAGTATCCAACTCCCAATCCTCTCTTTTTACTAGAATCTGATCACACTGATCCTCTGTTTAAAACCTATGAATAGGTTCCCATTTCCTCATGGGGAAAAGTCCAAAATCAGTAACACTGCATAGGGCTTCCATGACCTGGACTCCACTGATCTTCTCATCCCACAGAGCAGCAGCCCATCCATCCTGGCGTGGCTCCAGCCACGGCAACAACCTACATGTTCACATCGTGTGCTAGGACTCCAGCAGGCATTGGCCATGCAATGGCAAGAAAAACAGGCAAGCCCCAGGCCTTATAGAGTATATCGTTTACTGGAAGAGAGAGCCAGCCATAAGTCAAAAAAACAAAACAAAACAAAACAAAAAACCTACAAACAAACGGAAAATTATAGCTGAGGTGAAGGTTAAAAATGGTAGAATATAGAGCTGTGAATGGCCGTAAGAAGAGATTTGGCCTAGAGTGGAAAGTCAGTAAAGGCTTCCCTGAGAAGGCATAGGAAGCTGACAGTTGACAGAAGAGCAGACATTAACTCGGCAAAGTCTGGGCGGGGAATGTACCTTAACTATATTTTCTTATTGCTGTATTCTTGATGCTCCAGTATCTGGGGTCTCGCTGGCTGGGAAGAGACCATGCCTCCCAGCAGTAGCCAATTCCTAGAGAGAGCAAATGGCTTTATCTGCACTACCTGCTCTATCTGGTGCCTACACTCCGGGAGGCAATATTCCTCTGTCTTGATCCTCCCAGGGCCAAACACCAGACAACCAGACCCAGCCCCCCTGCCCCAGAGCCCACTGAAACCATTCATACTAGCCAGCTGTGTGCCTGCTTGCCCTGCCTTGCCCCTTGCTTCCTGCAGAAACCACAACAAAGGCTCCTGCTCACTTTTGCCCTTCCCTCCCTCTGCTTCCTTGCCAACCCCGGGGCTTCCTGATGTGGCCCTGCAGCCTGCGCCGTGCTCTTGGGAACTGTGAGTAACAAACTCTTTTCAAGGGCAATTGTTTCCTGATTTATTGGCCTCACCACAACCCAATAATAATAAAACCTATCTCATAAAACAGGATGGTGGTGGGACTGTAGGGTGAATGCTCCAAACAGAGGAATCAGCACGTGCAAAATTCCTATGGATAAGGAGTCATTTTTCTCTTGTGTGTATGAAAATCCTATTAGCATATATAGCACAGCCCCCTTCCTCTCTGTGTTACCCTCTGTCACATTACTCCATTTATTTGTTGAATTTTAGCACTTACCACCATCTGTAATTACCTTTTGCATTTGTTTGTCTACTCGTTTATAATATGTTTGTCTCCTCTCACCCAGCCCCCAATATGTCAGTCTTGAGAGAGGAAGGACCTGTTTTGTTCACTGCTGTATCCCTGGAACCTAGAACAGTGCCAGGTACATGGTAGGGGCTCCAGCCAGACTTGCTTGATGAATGAACCATTTCACCTTTTCAACTTCCCTGGCTCAGGTTAAATTGACCACTTCCTCCCTTGGGCTTCTGCCCAGCCCTCTGCAGGTTTCTAGACATCACTTGACACTGTAAGTGCCTTTTGATTGCAGATCTGTCTCTCTCTACCAAATCTAAGCTCTTAGTAGCAAGGATTATGTTTTACTCTTCATGTGTCCCTGGTATCCAGTGGGGAGCAGATGCTCAATGCATGTGTGTTTAATGAAAGTTGAAATGCTCAATGCATGTGTGTTTAATGTCCATGAGCTTTTCCTGTTCACTTGTAATTCAGCAAAACTAGAACACCTCATGTTTTTCCAACATGTCCACCCAATTCTGAACCTCATCTAAATCAAGTCATTTTTCATACCTCATAGGTCTCCTTCATCTTCCCCTTCTCTTTCTGGCCTCCTTACACATATACACAAAGGCAAAGCAGTGGTCATTTGTTTTCTGAGTGGAAAATTGGTCATAATGACTAGAGTTCAAAGTATTAATGGACAAGTGGGATATAATCATTCTTCTGTGAGAAAAAAATTTTTCAATCTACCCTAAATTTCTTTTCCAGTTTGAGAGAATTATTTCCCCTATCAATTGGCTATTCAAAGTATTTTAATACCTTTCAAATGATACTTTGTCCTAAATATGAAATTATCTCAGTCCTCCCATATTCTGTGACTTAAAAATCCAAGTACCCAGGTAGAGGCAGTGGTTTTAAATGGAAATTACAGCTCAGCAACAAGAAACTCTCTTGAGTAAAAGAAAATCTTTCTCTTTTTTTCTAAAAAGGTTTTATTTCTGTCACACTGCTTCTCACTTGAAATTTAGTTTCTATTCAGAATTATGGTGCATACATTGTTGTTCTTTGGGGAATATTTTAAAATAGTATTTATTTTCCTTTGGTTTAAGGCTATTTGGCTTCTCCTTTTCCTTCTATTTGTTTCTTATAGTGTGAATGACAAGTTAAATAATAGAAGAAGAGCCATAAAATGTGTCCCCAATATTGCACTAGCTATGGAATAAACATCAGTTTTTCAAGTTCAACAATTCTTAAACTTTATATATTCCCCAAACTTGTCTTTCTGTGCAGCCTGTTGCCCTAAGTAGATCTTTAAAATGGTTACTCCCAGATTAACTACTGAACATGATAGGGAAAAGAAAGCATGAGAAAGACAAATATGATCTTATTTTGGGTTAAATTCAAATGTAATTTGCTTGGCAAATTATCCAGTGATTAGGACATGAGTGG